TCTTGTTGTTCTGGTTATATTTTGTGATTTGGTGTTCATTTTGGTATGTTCGTTGGAGGAAGATGAATGGTGGTGGTGGTGGGAAGTGGAGATATGGTGGACATCGGACGATTATGGTAGTGATGGTGGTGGGAGGTAGGAGGTGGAAGGTGTGAGAATTGGTTTACAGGAAAACGAATTAGGGGTTAGAGGAAGATAAATTTATTGTTGTACACACGAACTGGTCCAGATGAAGGGTTCATCTATTTCAGTAATGCATGTGGACGACGATGTAGTTGGCGATGATGGGAGGTGCTTCCCAAAAAAATATATATATAAAGCTGACATGGATTAATAGATGTGGCTACCAAAAAATAAAGAAAACATGATTATTAATGACATATCAGCATTGTTCCCGGGAAACTTTTTAAATTCAAGAATAATGGTTTAATTAAGAGGTTAATAACGAGTTTAATGGTCTATTGCGCAAGAAAATTACTTTAGTGATCAAATTGGACAATTGACGAAACTTAATATGCTACGGTGTCATTTTCCTAAACCCAATCCTTTGAAATCCATTTGGGTTTGGGTCGGATCAACTTAGTCGGGTTAGGATATTTTGACACCCATGGTTGTTGGTCCTATTTTAGATCGAAATTCTTGTAGAAAGAGTGAGGGGAGATACAATTGATTCAATATTCGTTTATTAAGGTTTATTTAATAGCCGCAAATTTGGTTTCACTGTTAGCCCATATTTAATGCCAAAAAGCATTTATTTTTTGGCCCATAAATCAATTTTATTTATTGTCTCTTATCAAGAACTTCCAGCCTTATTCCAAAGTTATTTTTATTCCTTTTTTCCTTAAGAAAAAAAACTGCCTATAAACGTTTTTTTTTCTTTCATATCCCTTACAAGGATGAGTATTCCATAGCTAATGTAAAATAAGATCTTCCAATGTTGGATTGTGACACTCGTTTTTCATTTTGGTAAGTGAAGATGCGATACCTTTTGGCTCAATCAGATCACGATGATGCATTAGATTTTTATGGGAAAAAAACACAAGCAACTTAGACTTTCGATGAAAAGAAGGACCGTAAAGCCTTGACACAAATCCGATTACATTTGCACAATAATATTTTCCAAGAAGTACTCAGTAAAAGAATCACAGTTGTTGTATGGTTAAAACTTGAGTCAATATGCATGTCCAAAGATCTCAATTAGTAAGTTGTATTTGAATCAAAAGATTTTCTACACAAAATTCAAGAACATGGAGTCTTGGTTTTCTATATATTTGACTTCAAAGAGGTTGTTTCTGATCGGCTACGTTGGAAATGATCAAGTATGATGAAGAAGATCTTAGATTGATCCTTTATGCCCTCTTCCGATTTCGTATTCGAATTTCTATGATTCTATTGTTTATAGTCATGATTCTCTTATTGTGAAGGAAGTTTATGATGCAGTGTACTCCAATGAAAAAAAGAAACAAATGGTTTATAAAGATGGGTCAAGCACTTCCCAAGGTGAAGGGTTATCTATTTGGGGTTGTTCTAATGAAAGAGATTTTCGGGGCAAGAATATTCAATCAATATCTCAAGGTAAAGACAAGTCTAGATGTTATTGCAAGAAAGAGGTCATAGATTTTTGAATGTTATATGTTGCAGAATAAAAAAAAAATGAATGCTTCAAATAAATCAAAGATTAATGATGATTATGCAAACAATTCCCATGATGATGATTATGAAGAAGAAGTTTTTATTGTTGTATCCGGAGGTGTCCATGATAATTGAGTTCGCAATTCAGCTAGCGCTTATCACATGTGTTCACAAAAAGATTGGTTTACTACTTTTGAACCAATTCACACCGAGTCAATTTGTTGTTTGATGGCTCATGCAAAATTAAAGGTGTTGGTACCATACGTTTGAAGATGTTTGATGACATGATTCGAACTTTAATCGATGTTCAATATATTCCTATGATGAAGAAAATTCTCATCTCCTTGATCGTCTTTGACGACAAGGGTTACAATTTCTCATGTGAAGACAGTGTTTTGAAAATCACAAAAGGTTTGCGAGTTGTGATTGAAGATGATTCAATGAAGACTAATGATGTCTACTATGTTCGAGACACTACTATTAGAAGTCATTCTAAACCTTCATTTTCTATAGCTTTTCTGTTAGTTCAACCTTGAAAATCAAAAAGGGTGTCATTCAACAATTCGATTCTTACAAAGCCATCTCCGACTGCCAAATTTGAACTTTTTTCGGATTTTGTTGACATTTCAAATTAAGTCTTTAGGAACTTTTGAACACAATATGTTTTTCGTTTCTCATGATGATCGGAGGTTACGTTGCTGAATATTGTGTTCGTCCCAAGGTGGAGCTTAGGGATTAATCGATCCGAGCACTATCAAACTCGAAACTAAAATCGATTAAAAAGTTCGAGCTCGAAACTCGGCTCGAGCTTGACTCAAGCCTTAATTTTAAGCTCGAGCACGATAAAGTAACCGATACCTTCAAGCTTGGCTCGGCTCAACACGATTAGTTATTAGAAAAATTAAATTACAATAGAAACATGATTAAGCTAGTGAACTCGACTCGACTCGGCTCTATAATATGTAAATATGAATAAAAAAAGTTAAAAGTGTAAATATGGTAATGCTCGATTAAGCTCGCAAGTTTGACGAATCGAGTATTCAATACTCAATAATGGACTCAAGTAGCTCAAACTCGACTTGACCGAGTTGATTTCAAATATTTTTCCAATGGGTGTCAAGTATCTCACAAGTTGTCTTGAACGAGTGTGTGTCACTGGAGAGCTTCATTTCATGCATGGGGTTCCTAATGCTTTACGTGCTGTCAAGTTCCTTGTTCTTAACAAGGTTGCGTTTTTTGTTTGTGATATTTATTCCTAGGTAGAGTTTTATTAGGAGTCTTATATAATGTCCGATATATAAGGATATTTATTCCTAGGCTTTCGAGTTTTATTAGGAGTCTTATCTAATGTCCTATATATAAGGATGTTAGATGATATTTTTATTTATCTCTTTTCCTATTTTTTATACACAATCGTTTTGCTATCTTAACAAATTAATTACAAGAGATTAATATAATATTCCTTTATAGTGGTTTTTAACCCTTCTTTGGAGTTTTCCACTCTAAATCTTGTGTTATTGAGATTGTGGTTTACGTTTTGATAATGACAAGAAAGTGAATGTGCGAATCTTTGAAGTGGTAACAAATTAACCACTCAACTATATTGGAATTAACGATTAATCATTGATCTTAGTTTATAAATGAACCTAAATAGCAGGGGTGTGCACCAAACCGCATAAATCGCCCGCACCGCACCACACCGCACCGCATAATGCGGTTTAGAACGTTTGTGGTGCGGTTTGCGGTTTGTTATTTCGTTAAACCGCACTATGCGGTGCGGTTTGCGGTTTTCAATTACAAAGTCGCGGTTTAAACCGCACCGCATATATATATATATATATATATATATATATATATATATATATATATATATATATATATATATATATATATATATATATATATATATAAAGTGCATTGTTTCATCACTAGGATTAATAAAATAGTAATAATTGTTTGATTACAAGTTCGTAACAGTTAGAATGTTCATATGGATAAAAATCGATATGTTAATTAGCCTAAAATTAGTGAATATAGTCATACAATAGGAATTAATTAACAAACATATTACAGAAAGCAACTTGTTTTTGAGTTTTTTGCAAAACATTTCTATTTTCTAGTTTTATATCTCAAAAGATCAAAAGGTTTTTTAGATTTTTCAAAAGTTATAAAATATAGCAACTCATCAAACCGTAAAACCGCACTTAAACCGCACAAACCGCCCGCATAACGCGGTTTTGAACTTCTGTGGTGCGGTTTGCGGTTTCAAAAAAACTCAAACCGCATATGCGGTGCGGTTTGCGGTTTTGGACTTAAACCGCACCAAACCGCACCGCGCACACCCCTACTAAATAGTCGTTAGACAGATGTCATATTCACTATTCAAATATTGAAGTGCCATCTATATTTTTTAAGTTAGCTTGAAAATTTTCTATGCTATAAGAAGGAAAAGCTTTGTATTGATTCCCTCACGCAGCAGAGTCAAAAGTGTAAGATGATATATTTTAAAAACGTAAAGTTTTTGAATAAACTAATTAGTATTCTTTTTGCTCCTCATTTAATTTCTATTAACCATCCATTCTCATTGTACAAGTCAACACCGATCGTATCTAGGCAACTTTAAAAAGGAAATGTACAAGTTCTTAAGGAAAATTGGCGTTTTGTGCCAAACATAGGTTTTTAATTTTGTGATTTGTCAATTATATAAGATATTAATACAAAAACCGTCTTCAAACAATAAATATTGTGATAAATTAAATATCCTCCTACTTTTTGTTCATACATATCCTCTTACCCAATGAAATGGTGACATGTATAATATTTAATGCTTATTTAATCAGATTTAATCATATTTTAAAATATTAATATGACACATGTCATCATTTAAATGGATAGGAGAATTGGTAGGATTAAAAGGCAGGAGGATATTTAATTTCTCAAATAATTGTTCATTGTTATTTCCAAAGGAAATAAATGAGAATCCCAAATGTATTGGAGAATCAGAAAAGCGTAAAATGTTCAATCTATAAAACTCCACCAACGGATTTGAGATTCTTTTCAAACATTCCAAGTCAAAGACCAACATGGCCCCAACAATGAAAAAGCCCACAAAAAGGACCCCACAATACCTAAAAGCCCTTCACCGTCCTTTAACTATCCCTTCATTGATTTATAAAGCCAGTAGTATCTACACACCTACGGTGGAGATTCTTGCCGGCAGCCGCTGCACCATTCTTTTCCACCATCGCTTCTCCACCACCCCTTAAGTTTCCATATTCTTTTACCAAATATAGCACCCTACCCCCACCCACCCACGTCCACAAACACCATATAAACACATTCACCCTCTTATAGCCAACTTATCATCAATGAGTAGCATCACAAACAGCTTTTGCTTGTTGCCATTGGTGTTCATCATGATGATGATGGCTTTCGCCGAGTCAAGAATCATGGTCCCACCCAAGTTGAGTCCATCATCCAAGAACAATGATCATAAACCAGTTCCAACGATGGAATTCACCAAACTATCGCCATTATCTAAGCCATCAACAAACGATCATAAATCTCAAGACGAGTTCTACCATTTTGCTAAAAATGTCGAAGCTTATAAGGTTGCTTCATCTGGTCCAAGCGAAAAGGGTAGAGGCCATAAGTGAAGGTGTACATGGGTAGTTTCAGTCTTTTTAGATAACATATCTACTGTACCCTTGTGCTAGTTTTGAACTAGATATTTAAGGGTATAGTGACCATGGTGTTATGTTGAAAACTAGGCCAAGTTATGTGTTTTAGATTCGAGTATCTACATGTTCTAGCAGTATATGGTATGTATAGGCGTGTATGCATGTTGGCGTTTATTTCAAAGGATAAAAATTCTGATAAAATGGAGTATAATTTAATTGACTCTTGTCTTTTTCAAGAGTTTACAAAAAACAAACACCGCAAATATTATGCGTTTGTCATTTAGACGGTATATCGAGCGTGCTAGTGTTGGATGCCAGCAACTTATTATCATTCTGTTCGGAGTCGTGAAGTGTTTTTTCCATTTTGAAAACACAATCCTTTCTATAACATACTTAGTTTTAACTTTTAACTTTCTAATGAAGTGTACGTTGTATGCATGGCCCATGTATTATATGTTTATAGTCCATTTACCTCAAGCCGAAAGGGCAATGTATTTTAATTGTATATATGTACGCTTTTGTTGAATGAAGGCAGGAGAAATCATTCACATCAGAACTAATCTCCTTTCTCTCATCCCTCCTTCTCTCTTGCCGTAACCCTAATTCTTCTTCCCTCCTAAAATCGTCTTCCTCTTCCAAACACTTTCTTGATGGTTGACAATCAAAATATTAGCCAATAATTATTATAATTTTCTTCCGTGTAAATGGTTTGTTATGTTTTCCTACTTATCAGTATAGTTGTTGTAATTGTAATATATATATATATATATATATATATATATATATATATATATATATATATATATAGAGAGAGAGAGAGGTAGGTTCAATTGAGAAAATAAAAAAGGTTGAGAATGGAAGAATCGTTCTCAGCCACTCATTTAATTAGCCTCTAAACATAAATGACACTGTGGCAAACTTGTAAATATGATACAATCACTACAAGAATAGAGGCCTATGCAGACGACAATTAGGGACTCTGTACCGACGACTTGTCGTCTTTAAAGCTTATACCGACGATTAATTATACAGTTGAAATTCATTCGTTTTTTGCTCTTTCAATCAAAACTTCAATTATGCTTGAATACGAACATATCTTTAACATCTACGATTAATTATACTCCCAGCATCATTAGAACAACATCATCGATAATCAACAAAAAATTCAATTCGTATCATTTATTCAACATCGTTCATCAAATAAAACATCGAAATTAAGGTTAGAAAAAGATCAAATCATTTTTTGTTTGAAAATTTTCATATATTTCTCTACCAATCTACTATTTTGTAAGATTTAAATAGTCAAAGTATCATATTTATCACATTTTTAAAAAAGTTAATTTGTATGCACTCCAACTGTTTGATGAAATGCATAAACTAAATTACCACGTTATATTCACATATGAATATGTTTTCTCACCTGAATCAATGTGTGATTATTAAAACACAAAACAAATATGCAAGTCTGTATGTTATTCATATGTGAATAACATATAAAAATTATATATATTTCTGAAAACACCTTGTAATATTCATATATGAATATACTGTGCAATATTCACATATGAATATACCAACTATTATTCATAAGTGAATATACGATCTAATATTCACAAGTGAATATACTGTGTACTATTCTCATGTGATATACCATGTAATACTATATAATAGTCACATATGAAAATATCATCTAATATTAATAAGTGAATATACCATCTAACATTCACAAGTGAATATACTATGTAATAATATTCACAAGTGAATGCATCGTCTAATATTTAAATATGAATATACTATGTTTAGTAAATGCTATATTCATATATGAATGATACTTAAATTGTAAAAAAAAAATTAATCATAGTTTTTATTCATAAGTGAATAACGAATGTACTGTAGTAAAAACCTGATTCATTTTTATTCATTTATGAATAACGATGGCTGAAAATATAAACAAAATAAATTTTTTATTTTATTTTAAAATTATATCAATATGGATGTCTATTTGTAGAGAATAAAAAATCATGAATTTTGGTATATTTAAAATCATTTTTCGATAAAAATAGCTTCTTAAAAATTAAAAAAAAAACGAAAAAACTATGTTTTTGTATATATTAAGGTAATGATTAGCATAGTTTAGAGTGGTGGGTGTGGGCAACGCCCCACACGCGTTACTAGGAGAAAAAGAAGGAAATGGCGTTATTAAGTGTTATGGTGGTAACGGGAAGCAACGGGGATGCCTTTAACATGGAATAACATGGGAGGGGGGCGGTGTTCATTAGTGTTATTAGGTGTTATTAGGCATAATAACGGGAGTGGGCGTTGCCCACTCCGAGTAGCCTTAAGGAAACATGTTTTGTTGGAAACACATGTGCATTTCTTTCCCATTTCCGCCGGTACGTTGGAGGCTTTTGCGGCAAAAATAAATGATTGGCTGAGAATGATTCCCCCATTCTCAACCTTTTTTTTTCTCAATTGAACCCTCCTATATATATATATATATGTATATATATATATATATATATATATATATATATATATATATATATATTTGTTGATTGGGCTTGTTGCATTGAAATTCGTCGATGAAAGTATGGCTACTCTATTTTCTTTGGAGGTAATTTAGTATATTGGAGTGCTAAAAAGCAACCCATAGTTTTCCGATCCAGTTGTGAATCAGAATATCGAGCGATGACCAATACTACTCCCGAAATCATCTGGATCAGTCACCTGCTACGAGAAATTCATGCGCCGCCTCCAACGGTACCCACTCTTTTGTGTGACAACAAAAGTGCTCTAATCCTTAGCCAGAAGTTAATTTCTCACAAAAGAGCAAAACACATTGACATAGATTATCATTTTGTTCGTGATAAGCTTCAAACAAAACACATCCTACTCCTTTACAACTAGCTGATATCTTCACTAAAAGTCTATCTAGACCCCTCTTTGAGAAATTTCGTATCAAGCTTCGTGTTGGACCACCACCTATAAGCTTGACGGGGGTATTAGCCGATAATTATTATAATTATCTCTTGTTTACATAGTTTGTTATGTTTTCCTATTTATCAGTATAGTTGTATTTGTAACATATATATATATATATATATATATATATATATATATATATATATATATATATATATATATATATATTAGTCATTTACCCGTGTCAAGCGACGGGTGCGAATAGTTTTCTCAGAAATTAGTTTTTATGGACAATTAATTCTTTTGGACGTTAAATATAAGCGTTTTTTGTTTTGATTAAAAAATACATCTATCTTGCTATTTTTTATTAAAAGTACCTTCTTGGGTTAAAAAATAATTTTTGTATTAGTTACTGGGCAATCGTGTCGTGTTTTTGTCTGCCACGACACGACACGATTGCTTGTTTTTATCATTGACACAAAAACAAACCAATTAAAATATGAAAAACATGACATGACACCAAAATGATAACATAACATAAACATTAGTTTGGTTTTATTTTTTGATTAAGCGATTAAACTGGTTTGAAGCCGGTTTTATTTTTTGATTAAGCGATTCCGCTTAACTACCAAGTCTTTTTGTATATTTCTATTATTTAATATTTCAAAAATAAACAACATATATCAAAATACATTAATTATAGTAAAATATATACCAATCGATGGTCACTAAGTATAGTAAAAGACATTTTGGGCCATAAAAAATTATTTGCCACACTTTGTTGTCATCAACATTATAGTAAAATAAAAAATTCTCATGCAAATTTGTGTTTTTGTATGCTGAACCGAATATTGATAAATAGGAAAAATAGGAAACAAAATGGAAATCCCAAAAGAACAATTAAAACCAAATGACAACCTTAAAAATTAAATGTAAAAATGAAAGTCCTTTGCTCTGAAAGTAGAATGCTATAAATGTTTCTTTTTCGAAGTATAATGTTGTAACAGGAACATATGAAAGTAGGATGCTATAATAAAAAAAGAAATGAATGCAAATTGCTATTTTATCTCATTTCACTGCAACATATAAATACTTGACACTAAGAAAGATTGTACAATGATATTTATTGCATTCGACAACATGGTTGTTGCTCAAAGTAGACAACCACAATAAGAAAATAAACGAGAAACCAAGATGTTGTAATAGAAAGAGCTAATTCCGAAGAAAAAAAGCTAAATAGCTCGGTGAATGGCTTGACTGATCCCAAAAAGTTGATGCCTCAACAGTTATTCATTGCATCATGGGGTCTTGATCATCAACTTGTTTTAGTTGAACCATGGAGCAACAAAAATGTTTTTCAACGTTGATGGTAACATTTGTCCTTCATGATACAGAATTTTTTAAAATTCAAAAAGCTATATTAGTTGCAGTAAGGTTACCAAATAATTGAAGTCTGGTATATCTATTTAATTTAAATATAATTTTGCAACTAAAGTCTTTATATAATTATATAAGACAAAAGTACAGAACAATAAAGTTTGAAAGGACAAATTATTTAAAAAAAAAAATAAACACCGAACATAATAACAAAATAAACAAATATCACATATCTAGCAACCTTCTATTTCGGTACAAAAAATCATTCTGTATCCATGATCAACCTGTCTTAAAACGATTCAGAAAAAGTTAAAAATTAGAACTTAAAGTTTTTTTAAACGATAAATAATTTGATAAATTAAGACGCGAACAGAGAGCTGGACAAATACAAAGTGTAGAAAAAAAAAAAAAAGGAAAAAGAAAACAAACAAACACCTGAAGCCAAGGAGGGTAAAATGGTCAAAACATGAGAAGAGCACTCCTCAGCAGCCAAGTGTGCAACAAGATATTTAAAAGAAATGGAAGCAGTCATCACGCAAGGGCATAAAAACCACAGGAAGCCATAAACTCCATGCAGGGGTAAAACGGTCTATGTAAAGAAAAAACTTCCAAATTTTTTTTTGATCACCATCAACAACCATGAACATATTAGCATTTTTTAACTTGGTAGAAAATTTCAAGCAAGGACACTAAAATAACATCACATCAGCAAAGCTTAGTGTGGGTATAATGGTCAAATTAAGGACCACATCACATCTCCATATGCAATAACACACCAGTAGAGCAAAGCAGATTCAGCAAAAGAACAAAGGGGCAAAAATGACCAGCTCTCCAAAAACAGATAAAAAAACAGATATAACTAAGCCACACCAGCATCTACCACAGGGTCTAAACTCTCCATTGTCCA